CGGCCAAACGGGGTGCTACGTCAGCCATTGCCGGAGCCCCCTGTGTCCATAAGGGGCCGGGCTTCATCCAGGCTATACTAACGGAAGCACAACTTAGTTTGGAGTCTTGTCCCATGTTTAAAGCTCCTCTGTTACCCTGCGTTCCATGGTGTTCAGAGGGTTCAAGGGGTATATCATTCTCCCCAGGGTGAGGGTAATAAGTTGGGCGATTCACTCTCTGTCCACAAGGGGACACTGCTTCCCCATATGTGTCTCATTACTGGAATTCATAGCTGCCTGTAGCTCACTAGTCCTATGAGGTGCTTAGTGATCTGGGTTCTATAGGCGATTGGTTTCATTCCTGAGAATTGGATTCAATTCCGAATCACCCCCGTCTGTTACCTTGGAAGGGGTCCGTTTTTCAGAGCTGTCTGTCCCTTTTCCAGCTGGGTTACAAGGTGCTGTGGCACAGGTACCTATGACTGGTGGGTATGATAACCATCATGATAGCGGTTTTCCCCTGGGTCTGTTTTTAATGTGTGCTGGGTGCCAGCCGGTTACCGGGACCTATCTTGCCGCCTAAACTGAGCGAAGCTCGTTGTGACAGAAGTATCCCAAGGGGCACTGCCAATCGGGGTGCGTCACTTATTGCCGGAGCCCCTGAATCCAGAGTGAACGGGCTTCAGGCAAACTTTGGCGCATAAACACAGTTGTGTAAACCCAAAGTTCCACAGTGTTCACAGGTGTCAAGTGTTGTGCCTCCCACGTGGGTGCAATGAAAAGTGTCCCTTCTCCACATTCAGACACAATGGGGAAAAATAACCAATCTCCCAGTCCCGCTGGTGGCAGCCCGCCCCTTCAAATGGCATTTGACGGGAGGCTCGCTATCTGCTCCAACCAATGGCGCGCATGCGCAAGGTTGCTCTGGACATGCGAACAGTGACGTCGGGGTACAGGCTACAATTTGTTGCGCGCATCATCCACGCTTCTGCGGCGTCATCACATCGACTGTTCCCGGCGCTTCAGTACCCGTTTTGAGGGAGGTAATATCCTCCCGTCTCCAGACGCGAGCAATCCTAGTGTTTTCTATGTAGGATCTAGGATGGCTGGTACAGCCGGTATTTCCTGGTTCTGGATGGGGTCGGGACTTTACACCCCGTTCTAGACTTATGTGTCCTCAGCAAGCATCTTGGAGTTCACACGTTCAAAATGCTCTCAAACCAGAGGCTGTTACAGTCCATGCGTCCCGGCGATTTGGTTCACCACCATCGACCTTAAGGATGCGTACTTCCATCTGCCCAAGTCACAGAAAGTTTGAGGTTCCATTATTTTGGTCCTCATTCGGCTTGACCCTCTCGCTTCGCATCTATTCAATGGTGGTGGAGGCGGCTCTGGCACCAATAAGGGGCCAGGGCCTAAGGGTGTTGGCCTATCTGGACGATTGGCTGACAGCAGCAGAGTCAAGGGAATAAGCAGTGTTGCACACATCCAGGCTGGTGTCCCATTTTCAGCCTCTGGGGTTTATTGTAAACCATAAGAGTCGTCTAACCCCATTGCAGCGCATTCCATTCCTGGGTCTCGAGTTGGAAATTGCGCTTTTCTAACCCTGGATAGGGTGTCTGGGTTCCAGCTCTGCTTGGCCCAATTTAGGTTGGGCCGCACAGTACTTTTTATCCAGTCTCTGCGCCACCTGAGGTTGATAGTGGTCATTCCCCTGGGACTATTATTGATGTGACTGTTCTGGTGCTGGGCGCTAGCCACGCGCTTGGATGCATATCGCCACCTAAACCGCTCGATTCAGGTGTCCCCAACATGACTTCAGGGCATTGGCCCAGTGGAGCGAACGCTGACTACAGTCACAAGGGGCTCTCATGGGCCAGGTATTGTTCCGCAATATGGTCACGACAGACACGTCCCCCCCCCCCCCTCCCCCCCGCGAGCTGTGCGAGGGTTACTCAATTCGGGTTGTCTGGACGGTGTCACAGAGTGTCTGGCATATCAATTACCTGGAACTTCTGACAATGTACGTAGCGCTCAGGCGCTGCATCCCACATTTGTCGGGCCGGCATGTGCTGGTCAGAGCCGTCATGACGACGGTGGCATACGTCAACACCTTGGCTCACACCCTGTTGCTGTGGAGATCCTTTGTGGCTCAGTTAGTAGAGCATGGCGCTTGCAACACCAGTGTTGTGGGTTCTATTGCCATTGGGGACCAGTACGAAAATGTATACACACACATGGATAAATGACTAAAATGGAAATGTAAAATGTTTAGCAGTGCGCATAGGTCTTTACACATAATGAGAACGCGCAGTTTCGTCTATTTTTCTCGATGAGAGAACAGAGTGCACCGTTGGGAATGGATGCTCTGGAGTGGCTTCGGACTCTCCTTTAAGTGTTTCCGCCAGTGGTTCTGATTCAGCCCACATTGGAGAGGGTGCGCCAGGAGAGCTTATCATTGATTCTTGTGTCTCCCCGTTGGCCCAGGCAGCCTTGGTTCGCGGAGATCATTCACCTTTTTAGGCGGGGACCCGTGGCAACTCCCATTGCGCAGGGACCTGTTGTCCCAGGTGCACAGATGGGTTTGGCATGAGAGGCCAGAGATTTTGTTATTTTTTGCCTGGTCCGAGTAAGCTAATCTGATGGCTAGAGGTTTTCCTACGAATGTTATTGCTACCATTCAGTCCGTAAGGGCGCCCTCCACAAGAAGGCTGTATGCGTTTGTGGCAAGTGTTTTGAGCTCTGTTGCCAAGATAAAGGGCTGGTTCCTTTTCAGTGCTCTGTGAGGTACATCCATATGTTCCTACAGGAGCTATTCGAGCAGGGACGGGCATTCTCCACTTTAAAAGTGTACATGGCCGCTATCTCTGCGTGTCGTGTGGGAATTGACAGAGCCACACCGGGGGCCCACCCTCTGTTGTGCGGTTCCTGAAAGGGGTACATGGTCTCAGACTGGTCTTCAAACCTATTGCACCCACATGGGACTTGCCACTGGTTTTGGGGGCACTGTGTGTCCCCCTTTTGAGTCTCTGGAGTCGGTGGATCTGAAGATCCTCTCCTACAAAACCCCCTTGCTCATGGCTTTGAGGTATTTCCCTTTTCACCTCCTCCTTTTGCTTCTGAAGAGCAGGAGAGGTTATGCCCTGTGTCCAGTGCGAGCTTTACACACGTACGCTGAACAGACCCATCCGGTTATGTGACCAGCGTTTCTGTTTTTTGCTAATCCAGCTCATGGCAGGGCGCTCTTTAAGGAGCGTCTCTCCCACTGGATTGTAGAGGCATCTCCCACCAGATCTCCCTGGCATATTGCAGCAAGCATTCCCTAGTGGTGTACTCGCCTACCAGGGGTCTGGCAGTGTCTCGGTCATTGTTTAAAGGATTGACTGTAGGAGTTATTTGTGCTGCGGCCAGTTGGGCATCACCACACTTTTTTTGTGAGATTTTATCGCTTGTCACTGCTCCCAGTGTAGCCCACAGTGAGCTTACGGACAGGGGAAAGTCACTAGGCAGTACACCGTGTGCGCAATACCCAGACTGCCGCATCTAGCAGAGTCAGGTCTGGGTGCTCTGCCATGGGCCATTTAATTTAGTAACCACTGGGGTCAGCTTGGGCCGTGATTATTATTTCCCCATAGTTTGTTGTACCGACGTTAACGTTATGACTATAACTGTTCCCTGAAGGAGGGAAATGAGGTACAACACCTGTTTGGCCACCTGTTCCTGGGCTCGGTGAAGAGTGGTATTAAATTGAAGGAATTAATCACAGCCTCACGCTTATCACCTGTGTAAGGCAGGGATTCCAGCGAGGCGTGGAATTCATTGGCATTGCGAGGCGTGATTGTAGATCCTTAAACCGAAGTCGCGAGAGTGCGACTCCCCATAGTATGTTGTAATTCATTTCCCTCCTTCAGGGAACAGTAGTTATACAGTGAGCTCAAAATATTGGGACAGTGACATTTTTTGTTTGTTTTTGATCTGTACCCCAGCATTTTGGATTTCAAATGATACAATGACTATGGGGTTAAGGTGCCGACTGTCAGCTTTAATTTGAGGGTATCTTCACCCATATTGGGTGAACCGTTGAGAAATTATAGCACTTTTTTTGTATATAGTCCTCCCATTTTAGGGGACCAAAAGTATATTTGTGCGTCTAACTTTGTCGCTCATCATTATTCACCATTCATTCACAATAATCTGTTATCATGGAAGCATCCACATTCATTTAGAATTGTGTAGAAACATATTCTTATTTACAATGAAAGTGACTCCAAAATGACACAATAAATTATTTAACATTCATTTCTATTGGGCACAAAATAATCTGAAACGCAACCAAAACCAACCGCAAATGCATCCAACAAGTTTGTAGAGTCACAAGCTTGATGTAGTGCTAGAAATATGGGACCAAATACTAAACTTTTGATTACTTTTAATGCGCATAAGTGAATTTGTCCCAATACTTTTGGTCCCCTAAAATGTGGGGTACTATGTACAAAAAGTGCTGTAATTTCTAAACTGTTTACCCGATATGTATGAAAATACCCTAAAAATAAAGCTGACAGTCTGCACTTTAACCTCAGTCGTTGTATCATTTCAAATACAAAGTGCTGGAGTAAACACAGCCAAAACAATGGGGGAAAAACTCACTGTCACAATACTTTTGGAGCTCACTGTAGTTGTTACGTTACTACAACGCAATTGCATTCTCTTGCTGGGAAAACAAAATAGCTGCCTGTTGATTGACCGCAAATAATTTCAGACTGATGAAAGGGAACTGTCATAGTGATCATTCATGCAACGTTGGCTGCGAAAGGTTCTACATGTGCTTCTGTTGTGAAGTTGGAGTGGCTTTGCCCTGTTGCGTTTCTGCTGGGGTCAGCTAATCTGCTTCAGCACTCTGTGAGTACAGGGGGGGGGGTCTTACATACACAAAGCCAAAGCTTATATTCCCTGCAATGAAATCCCACAACAAGATTGAAACCGATTTTGTACATTTTCTAAAATTGATTGACACCTTTTAGGACCTACCAGACACGGTTGACTGCTCTATCCCTCAAGCTACAGAAGCAATCACACCTGAGGAGAGGGAGGAGCTGAAGGTCTCAGGTGAGTTTTACTGGTAGTCTATGACGGGGGTTCTCAAAGTGGTCCGTGGACCACACTTTAAAAAAAGATATATACACACACAGTGGGGAGAACAAGTATTTGATACACTGCCAATTTTGCAGGTTTTCCTACTTACAAAGCATGTAGAGGTCTGTACTTTTTATCATAGGTACACTTCAACTGTGAGAGACGGAATCTAAAACAAAAATCCAGAAAATCGCTATGATTTTTAAGTAATTAATTTGCATTTTATTGCATGACATAAGTATTTGATAAATCAGAAAAGCAGAACTTAATATTTGGTACAGAAACCTTTGTTTGCAATTACAGAGATCATACGTTTCCTGTAGGTCTGGACCAGGTTTGCACACACTGCAGAAGGGATTTTGGCCCACTCCTCCATACAGACCTTCTCCAGATCCTTCAGGTTTCGGGGCTGTCGCTGGGCAATACGGACTTTCAGCTCCCTCCAAAGATTTTCTATTGGATTCAGGTCTGGAGACTGGCTAGGCCACTCCAGGACCTTGATGCTTCTTACGGAGCCACTCCTTAGTTGCCCTGGCTGTGTGTTTCGGGTCGTTGTCATGCTGGAAGACCCAGCCACGACCCATCTTCAATGCTCTTACTAAGGGAAGGAGGATGTTGGCCAAGATCTCGCGATGCATGGCCCCATCCATCCTCCCCTCAATACGGTGCAGTCGTCCTGTCCCCTTTGCAGAAAAGCATCCCCAAAGAATGATGTTTCCACCTCCATGCTTCACGGTTGGGATGGTGTTAATAATAATAATAATAATAATGGTGTTCTTGGGGTTGTACTCATCCTCCTTCTTCCTCCAAACACGGCGAGTGGAGTTTAGACCAAAAAGCTCTATTTTTGTCTCATCAGACCACATGACCTTCTCCCATTCCTCCTCTGGATCATCCAGATGGTCATTGGCAAACTTCAGACGGGCCTGGACATGCGCTGGATTGAGCAGGGGGACCTTGTGTGCGCTGCAGGATTTTAATCCATGACGGCGTAGTGTGTTCCTAATGGTTTTCTTTGAGACTGTGGTCCCAGCTTTCTTCAGGTCATTGACCAGGTCCTGCCGTGTAGTTCTGGGCTGATCCCTCACCTTCCTCATGATCATTGATGCCCCACGAGGTGAGATCTTGCATGGAGCCCCAGACCGAGGGGGATTGACCATCATCTTGAACTTCTTCCATTTTCTAATAATTGCGCCAACAGTTGTTGCCTTCTCACCAAGCTGCTTGCCTATTGTCCTGTAGCCCATCCCAGCCTTGTGCAGGTCTACAATTTTATCCCTGATGTCCTTACACAGCTCTCTGGTCTTGGCCATTGTGGAGAGGTTGGAGTCTGTTTGATTGAGTGTGTGGACAGGTGTCTTTTATACAGGTAACGAGTTCAAACGTGCAGTTAATACAGGTAATGAGTGGAGAACAGAAGGGCTTCTTAAAGAAAAACTAACAGGTCTGTGAGAGCCGGAATTCTTACTGGTTGGTAGGTGATCAAATACTTATGTCATGCAATAAAATGCAAATTAATTACTTAAAAATCATACAATGTGATTTTCTGGATTTTTCTTTTAGATTCCATCTCTCACAGTTGAAGTGTACCTATGATAAAAATGACAGACCTCTACATGCTTTGTAAGTAGGAAAACCTGCAAAATCGGCAGTGAATCAAACACTTGTTCTCCCCACTGTGTGTGTATGTATATATATTTTTATGAATGTTACTAACAACATATTAAATTAATTTTGGCCAAGGGATCTGCGGAGTAAGTTTAGAGGGTGTAATACAATGTAATTATTAATCGAAAATGTTGTTCTTAACCCTGGGCAACATGGGCCTGGGAGGCTCACAGGGATATTGGTATCCACAGTATTCCACAAATTACACATTTTTCAACTCAAAACTTATTGTATTCCCCCCCAAGTTTTTTTTTTTTTTTTTTTTTTTACATAAATGCGCTGTAATCTAAGTTTTAAAACTGCAAAGTTTTCTCTCTGCCTCATGGCAAAATATGAAGAAATGCAGGATATTAGCTTTGAAGCTTCAACAACAAAAAATGTCTCTACCCCTTAAACTGCAGAATTTTCTCTCCGGTGCCAAGAAATGGGTCTTTTAAAATGTTCCTTCCCAGGGCCAGAGACTTGTTTCGTCGAGCCATGCATTGCCAAAGTCATAGTAGAACTCTTTGTATGCTATTTTTATCTCACTCGAGTTGTGTTATGATTTATGAGGGGGTCCCTCTGATTTATGAGGGGGTCCCTGATGAATTTGCTATCAGAAAGGGGTCCACGGCCTGAAAAATAAGGAATTATGAGCCCAGTATGTGAATTTCATGACAAAAATACCATGTCCATATTCTTGCTTTACAGTGAAACTATTTATTTGCGAGGCAGACCTCTCTTCAATCAAAGATGCAGTTGATAAGGGTGAGTATTACACTCAGTGACTGCACAGAAAAGTAATTTGGCACAGGCGATTGTCTGTAAACCTGACCATGTTGTCAAATCAAAATGCAACAGACTTAAGTAGACAGTATCAGTGAACTGCTTTCGTTGGCATGCCAACTCCTTTCCTTACCTCAATTTTTTTGTATTTGAAAGCTGAAATCCCATTTTTTTTTGTATTTGAAAGCTGAAATCCATAAAGGGAGAAGCTGTCACGTCCGTTTGGGATACTACAACAACAAAGAAGTCACTTCAAACAACAAACTTTTTTTATTTTATTTTTGCCGACATCATTGAACGTGCGATAGAACACCAGAATATGTACTGAGATGTATTTATTTTTATCACGCTGCTGGAAGCTCCTCTTCTCTGTTTCATCTAAACAAAACAAAAACCTGTACGTTAACCTCCCGAGTGGCGCAGTGGTCTAAGGCACTGCATCGCAGTGCTAGCTGTGCCACTAGAGATCCTGGTTCGAATCCAGGCTCTGTCGTAGCCGGCCGCGACCGGGAGACCCATGGGGTGGCGCACAATTGGCCCAGCGTCGTCCAGGGTAGGGGAGGGAATGGCCGGCAGGGATGTAGCTCAGTTGGTAGAGCATGGCATTTGCAACGCCAGGGTTGTGGGTTCGATTCCCACGGGGGGCCAGTATGAAAAATAAAAAATTAATAATGTATGCACTCACTAACTGTAAGTCGCTCTGGATAAGAGCGTCTGCTAAATGACTAAAATGTAAATGTAAAAACAAAGGCACCGTTTCCCCCTTTACAGATTTCAGCTTTAAGAAGCATGCACTGACTGTATACTATGACTTCATTCAAGTTTCATGCTCATAAGACTCTGTTTGTGACAGCTTGTCAGGCCCTGGCTGTGTCCCTGCTGGACTCGGTGATCATCGCACCCCCTGTTCTGCCTGAAGGGGAGAGTCAGACCCTGGAGAACCTGCAGCCTGCCTGGAGGGAACTGGAGGGCTTGGTTCAGAGCCACAAGATCGCTGCCATCGGCACCTCTGACCTGGACAAGGAGCTCCTGGAGCAGCTCTACAACTGGGCCCAGGTGAGTGGTGATGCTGACGAGACCTGTCAGATTTTAATAGGTTGGTGTATTTGGGGTTTTGAATTGATTTATTTTCTCCTGGTCTAGGTGAAACCCAGTAGTAACCAGGTAAATCTGGCCTCCTGCTGTGTGATGCCCCCTGACCTGACTGCTTTTGCAAAGGAGTTTGACATTCAGCTACTGACTCATAATGACCCAAAAGGTGAAAATTGTGCTAATTTCAATTTGTAATATTTTCACTGTATAATCAGATAATAAATGTTAAGGAAAGGCTGTATGTGCTCTGAGGGGCACTGAATTAATGCATTGTATTTTCCTGTAGAACTGATTACTGCTGCCAGCTTCCAGGAGGCAGTGCAGGAGAGCACTCAGGACCTGAAGGTAGCAGACTGGAGGTTGGAGTGGGTTTTGCGCTACTCCATCATTGTCAAAAGCAGGGGGATCATTAAAGCAAAAGGCTACCTTGTTCACTCAAAGAGAGGCAACCTGTAGCGTGTCCTCTGAAAATCAGTTATTCAGATGTTACTCATGACCAATACATTTATAGTAGTCAAACCACTTACACTCCTGCATTGCAGTGGAGGCTTTGTTTTAAAGACGGAGATATAGGTAGATCAACTTTTAGCAAACATGGCTACAAAACTGAATTGGAACCCCAGAAATAATTAAATTGTGTAGATGTAACACCTTGTTTTAGTACAATGTTAGAATGATTGCAAAGCAGTTTAAAGGTTAAACAGCCTCTAACCCACTACGGAAATGTCCCACAATATTTTTACATTGTAAATTGATGAGAAAGTTAAGTAGAGGTGAGTACTTTGGATCGGTTAAAGCAACAGAGTCATATGTAAAGTCCTAGTGCGCTCTGACGTGTATGAACAGCTCCTTCTGTTTTCTACTGTATAATACTGGCATCCTGTATAATGGGGACAATGGCCTAATTCCAATCGATTTCTGGTCAGTGAAAAAAATGTATGGTTAGTTCATAAACTTCTTCATTTAGTGTACAGTAGATATTAGATTTTTAGAAAGTACTTTATGGATGTTAAAGTATTGTATTGGCAAATATTTGTGTGTGTGTGTGTGTATATATATATATATATATATATATATATATATATCACACACACACACACACACAGTAAGGGGAAAAAAGTATTTAATCCCCTGCTGATTTTGTACGTTTGCCCACTGACAAAGAAATGATCAGTCTATAATTTTAATGGTAGGTTTATTTGAACAGTGAGAGTCAGAATAACAACAAAAAAATCCAGAAAAACGCATATAAAAAATGTTATAAATTGATTTGCATTTTAATGAGGGAAATAAGTATTTGACCCCCTCTCAATCAGAAAGATTTCTGGCTCCCAGGTGTCTTTTATACAGGTAACGAGCTGAGATTAGGAGCACACTCTTAAAGGGAGTGCTCCTAATCTCAGTTTCTTACCTGTATAAAAGACACCTGTCCACAGAAGCAATCATTCAATCAGATTCCAAACTCTCCACCATGGCCAAGACCAAAGAGGTCTCCAAGGATGTCAGGGACAAGATTGTAGACCTACACAAGGCTGGAATGGGCTACAAGACCATCGCCAAGCAGCTTGGTGAAAAGGTGACAACAGTTGGTGCGATTATTCGCAAATGGAATTATTCGCAAATTCGGCCTGGGGCTACATGCAAGATCTCACCTTGTGGAGTTGCAATGATCATGAGAACGGTGAGGAATCAGCCCAGAACAACACAGGAGGATCTTGTCAATGATCTCAAGGCAGCTGGGACAATAGTCACCAAGAAAACAATTGGAAACACACTACGCCGTGAAGGACTGAAATCCTGCAGCACCCGCAAGGTCCCCCTGCTCAAGAAAGCACATATACAGGCCCGTCTGAAGTTTGCCAATGAACATCTGAATGATACAGAGGAGAACTGGGTGAAAGTGTTGTGGTCAGATGAGACCAAAATGGAGCTCTTTGGCATCAACTCAACTCGCCGTGTTTGGAGGAGGAGGAATGCTGCCTATGACCCCAAGAATACCATCCCCACCGTCAAACATGGTGGTGGAAACATTATGCTTTGGGGGTGTTTTTCTGCTAAGGGGACAGGACAACTTCACTGCATCAAAGGGACGATGGACGGGGCCATGTACTGTCAAATCTTGGGTGAGAACCTCCTTCTCTCAGCCAGGGCATTGAAAATGGGTCGTGGATGGGTATTCCAGCATGACAATGACCCAAAACACACGGCCAAGGCAACAAAGGAGTGGCTCAAGAAGAAGCACATTAAGGTCCTGGAGTGGCCTAGCCGGTCTCCAGACCTTAATCCCATAGAAAATCTGTGGAGGGAGCTGAAGGTTCGAGTTGCCAAACGTCAGGCTCGAAACCTTAATGACTTGGAGAAGATCTGCAAAGAGGAGTGGGACAAAATCCCTCCTGAGATGTGTGCAAACCTGGTGGCCAACTACAAGAAACGTCTGACCTCTGTGATTGCCAACAAGGGTTTTGCCACCAAGTACTAAGTCATGTTTTGCAGAGGGCTCAAATACTTATTTCCCTCATTAAAATGCAAATCAATTTATAACATTTTTGACATGTTTTTCTGGATTTTTGTTGTTGTTATTCTGTCTCTCACTGTTCAAATAAACCTACCATTAAAAAATTCTAGACTGTTGTCAGTGGGCAAACGTACAAAATCAGCAGGGGATCAAATACTTATTTCCCTCACTGTGTGTGTGTGTGTGTGTGTGTGTGTATATATATATATATATATTTAAAAAAATTAAAGCCCTGTGCTACTGACAGGGTATGCCAGTACATGATTTGTCCTATAGCCCTGACTGCTCATACAATATTCTTATGAGAAAATGTGTCCCCCATCTGCGTGGTAATATGAGAAATGTCCCCAAATGAGGCTTACATTCATAGTAGGCTTGACACCTTCTTTATCGTGTACATGATAGTACTGGAATATTCCAGATTGGCATGGAAAATGAATTACAAGCTCAGAAGTATCTGGAAGGATGTCTTATTTATTAATCATGGCATTTCTTCCAGACAGGGTCCACAATCCTATGAAGTTTGAGTTCACTATTGTGCTGTAATAATTAATAAATTTAATGTTACCATTTCCTGTATTGTTCTAGAATTGGGTTTATTAAATGATTAAACGCTTTTGAAGTGTTTTGTGTTCATTGGAAGAGATGGGTGCACATGCTCACTATACATTTATTTCAGATCACATAAAAACGGGGGGGGAATAATATTTAACATAAATCTTAAAGGAATGAATGATAAACTTTACTAGACTTTCGTCTCATTGGAGTACTTTCATCCACACTTTTTTTTTTTTAATGTTCCTTAGCATGCATTGCGATTCGATTGGTCGAGTCTGGCTGACGCGTTGGGAACACGTGGCGGAAGTGCGACCGACAGCGCGAACAAGATGGTGGCCACCAGAAGAGGAGTACGCGTGTGCTCCCCAACTAAAACAAACTCCGATGAATCCTCTGGAGTTATGGTAGGTTTTAATTGCGTGATTATGGGTAGATATGTGTGTGATTTAGATACAGTTCAGCGCGTTTCGTATATACAGATAGTTTTCAGTGTGTAATACTTGGTTGTTCATGTTCACGTGGCAGCAAGCTAGCTAGCCTAGCTTGAGTCCCTCATTTGTTTTGCAAGCATAAAAACACTTTTCCGCTTTTGTTTTTAGGAGGCAATCCGTTGTATACATCAGTACAATATTGCCATTTCCACTGAATAAGTTACACACTCACAAATTAGTCCTGGAGAGTTTGCTGTTGTTAGTTAGCTACAGAGTTTTCTTTCAGCTCATCACTGACACCGAAATCAAATAGCTAGCTAATCAATGACCACGTTTACATGAAATTGTATTTGTCACATGCGGCGAATACAACACCTTACCGTGAAATGCTTACTTACAAGTCCTTAACCAACAATGCAGTTTTAAGGAAATAGTTAAAATATGTACTAAATAAACGAAAGTTTAAAAAAAAGAAAGTCAGACAGTAAAATAATCTGGCTATATACAGGGGGTACCGAGTCAATGTGCAGGGGTACAGGTTAGTCGAGGTCATTTATACATTTAGGTAGGGGTAAAGTGACTATGCATAGATAATAAACAGCGAGTAGCAGTAGTGAAAAAAACAAGGGAGGGGGTTCAATACAAATAGTCTGGGTGGCCATTTGATTAATTGTTTAGCTGTCTTATGGCTTGTGGGTAGAAGGCTGTTAAGGAGCCTTTTGGACCTAGACTTGGCGCTCTGGTACCTCTTGCTGTGCGGTAGCAGAGAGAACAGTCTATGCCTTGGGTGACTGGAGTCTTTGACACCAATATCCCATTATTATTCGGGATACTTGAGTATTCTGTTTTTGACGCATTTAGACATCATATTCCGTTTACAATAACCCGTAAAAGCTTATGCGAAACACGGATAATATGACTGGGATATGCTGATCTTAAACGGGATACTGTGGCATGTACACAACCAATTAACAAAGCATACCGATTTAGGGCACTTAAATATCATGGTTTAGGTGTTCAACATCAATAATAAACTGTCAATCTCGACAAACAGAAAGTACACCCCTCCCTACTAGAGCTGGCCCCATTTTGGTAGACTGAGATTTCTTTAGTTGAGCATTCGCAAATATATATGAACACTATTTCTGTGCTTTTAGGGCCCATAATGCAATTCTTCAGAGAATGGGCGTGGTTTCACATCATTTTTAGATTAAAAGAAAATGGTGGAAAATATGCAGCCGAAGTCCGACGAGAGCGGATACAAATTAATAATAATAAAATATAATAATAATTCATTGCTTTAACAAATTATGACCAATTTTAAGAAAATATTGAGCAATATAATGACTTTTCAAACAAGTTACGTTACACGTTATGTTGGCTGACAATTTGTTAGATACGCTGTCCTTACCAACCGCATAGCATATCATTTCAGCAGTTGTATGTACCAGTGTGTTAGCTAGCTACCTAACGTTAGTTGGCTACTAATATATCGAACTTGTACTGTATATACTCATTAAGGATGTAGTATACAGTATGTTAGTATGGGTATTTGAACACAGCTTAAGACATGTGCTACTGAAATTGTAAATGGTCATATTATGTAAGAACAATGGTGCAACTAGGGTTGCAAAATTACTTTCAATAAATTCCCTGGTTTTCCCGAAATCCCGGTTGGAGGTGTGCTGGAATCAGGATAGAATAAACAGGAAATCCGTATACCTCCAACCAGGATTTTTGGAAAACTAGTGAATTTATAGAAAATTCCTGGAATTTTGCAACACTAATAAAAAAATAATATTATTTTGTGACCGATGCGCTTTCACCCGCGTTGTATAGTGGTCGCTGTCTGCGGTTCTGAAACACAGCCTAATCTTAGGTGCGCAGTTGAATTGGCGCCTTCCAGGACGCTTTCCCTGATACAGTGAAAAATAATCGTAATTTATGTAATCTTTATGTGGACCCATGACACCTTTTGTTAGCCTTGAATAATTAGCCTAAACAATAAATAAACTGCAACATGTCTGCAATTGCATTCATGAACGCATGCAACTGTTTTTAGTCTTTGCAGTAATAAAGGCCTTTACAGAAAAAAATCTTTAAGAGACTCTCTGGTACACTTATTTAGTGTTGTTTACACTCTTCCAAATGGTCAAATTTTTAAAACAATTCTAAGCTTCCACCCACTAATTCAAATGTCTTCCACACATCGGATTTCCCCTTTCCCTCCTGAGCAAACAGTAAACATTCCCCCTTTTCAAGTTTATTTGTCACGTCCTCTACATCCATTATGCTGCCACGTGCTGCGGTGTTGGAGTTTGTTATAACAAATGTATTGATATGATATGCTCTATTGGTCTTGTACATGCGATTCGTACATGTCACGTAAAGAGAACAAGGGTTGAGGGAATATGAAATGTTTTTCCTAAACAAATGAGGAATTTTGATAACAGAACTTTTCAAAGTAAGAAACTAGAAATGTCTGTAATTATGTTGCAGCTTCAGCCCCACGGACAACTCGATAAACACTTACTGTGCTATGTATGGTCGCTGCAGCAGGGAGGAGAGAGCGACAGCGTGCGCCAGTCACACAGGCACTAGCTGTCTTTTTTAACACAGCATGGCTAGTCCGAGTCCGGCCCACATCAAGTACATACAGTTGACTTTTTAAAAACACAGGATGTTTTTATGTATGGAAAAATAAACGTTTGAAAATTTGATTGGTCGAAAGAAGGGAGCTCTCGGTCAACCAAGATTTGTTTTAGTTGGGGACATTCCTACTCCCTAGTTTGTAGGCTTACCCAGTATCGAAGGCTTGGCAATCTCCCAATGTCATTAAACTTTTTGGTGTTTTGTGACAGTCTCTTTCCATTCATCAAATGGCTGCTGCACAGTTTGGATTGATTGACTGATTTTGATCAGTTAAAAAAATACATACAATACCAGTCAAAAGTTTGGACACCTACTCATTCCACGGTTTTTCTTTATTTTTCAATTGTAGAATAATAGTGATGACATCAAAACAATGGAATAACACATGGAATCATGTAGTAACCAAAAAAGTGTTAAACAAATCAAAATATTTTATATATGAGATTGTTCAAATAGCCACCCTTTGCCTTGATGACAGCTTTGCAGACGCTTGGCATTCTCACAACCAGATTCATGAGGTAGTCACCTGGAATGCATTTCAATTAACAGGGGGGGTATACAGAAGACAGCCCTATTTGGTAAAAGACCAAGTCCATATTATGGCAAGAACAGCTCAAATAATCAAAGAGAAACGACAGTCCATCATTACTTTAAGACATGATGGTCAGTCAATCCGGAACGTTTCAAGAACTTTGAACGTTTCTTCAAGTGCAGTCACAAAAACCATCAAGCGCTATGATGAAACTGGCTCTCATGAGGACCGCCACAGGAATGGAAGACCCAGAGCTACCTCTGCTGCAGAGGATAAGTTCATTAGTTACCAGCCTCAGAATATTGCAGCCCAAATAAGTTCTTCACAGTGTTCAAGTAACAGACACATCTCAACATCAACTGTTCAGAGGAGACTACGTAAATCAAGCCTTCATGGTTGAATTGCTGCAAAGAAACCATTACTAAAGGACACCAATAATAATAAGAGACTTGCTTGGGCCAAGAAACACAAGCAATGGACATTAGACCGGTGGAAATCTGTCGAAATTAGAGATTTTTGGTTCCAACCGCTGTGTCTTTGTGAGACGCAGTGTAGGTGAATGGATGATCTCTGCATGTGTAATTCCCACCGTGAAGCATGGAGGTGTAGGGGTGCTTTGTTGGTGACACTGTCTGTGATTTATTTAGAGTTCAAGGCACACTTAACCAGCATGGCTACCACAGCATTCTGCAGCGACACACCATCCCATCTGGTTTGAGCTTAGTGGGACAGTAATTTGTTTTTCAACAGGACAATGACCCAACACACCTCCAGGCTGTTTGACCAAGAGGGATAGTGATGGATTGCTGCATCAGATGACCTGGCCTCCACAATCCCCCGACCTCAACCCAATTGAGATGGTTTGGGATGAGTTGGACCGCAGAGTGAAGGAAAAGCAGCCAACAAGTGCTTAGCATATGTGGGAACTCCTTCAAGTCTGTTGGAAAAGCATTCCAGGTGAAGCTGGTTGAGAGAATGCCAAGTGTGTGCAAAGCTGTCATCAAGGAAAAGGGTGGCTATTTGAACAATCTCAAATGTAAAATATATTTTGATTTGTTTAACACTTTTCTGTCTACTACATGATTCCATACGTGTTATTTCATGTTATTTCATACATTGTAGAAAATTATAAAAAATAATGAAAAACCCTTGAATTAATAGGTGTGTCCAAACTTTTGGCATTTTTCATATTTTGTTCCCTTACAACCTGGAATTAAAATAGATTTTTTGGGGGGGTTCTATCATTTGATTTACACAACATGCCTAGCACTTTGAAGATGCAAAATATTTTTTATTGGTAAACAAACAAATAAGACAAAAAAATAGAACTTGAGCTGCATAACTATTCAATTACAATTACAGCTGCAAGTCTCTTGGGGTATGTCTCCATAAGCTTGGCACAGGTCTGGGCTTGGATTTAGGTCTGGGCATTAACTTGGCCATTCCAAGACATTTAAATGTTTCCCCTTAAACCACACGAGTGTTGCTTTAGCAGTATGCTTAGGGTCATTGTCCTGCTGGAAGGTGAACCTCCGTCCCAGTCTAAAATCTCTGGAAGACTGAAACAGGTTTCCCTCAAGAATTTCCCTGTATTTAGCGCCATCCATCATTCCTTCAATTCTGACCAGTTTCCCAGTCCCTGCTGATGAAAAAACATCCCCACAGCATGATGCTGCCACCACCATGCTTCACTGTGGGGATGGTGTTCCCGGGGTGATGAGAAGTGTTGGGTTTGCGCCACACATAGCGTTGTCCTTGATGGCCAAAAAGCTCAATTTTAGTCTCATCTGACCAGAGTACCTGCTTCCATATGTTTGCTTATTTTTTTCTTATTTTTTTAAATAATGGATTTAATGGTGCTCCGTGGGATGTTCAAAGTTTCAGATATTTTTTAAAAACCCAACCCTGATCTGTACTTCTCCACAAATTTGTCCCTGACCTGTTTGGAGAGCTCCTTGGTCTTCATGGTGCCCCTTGCTTAGTGGTGTTGCAGACTCTGGGGCCTTTCAGAACAGGTGTGTATATATATATATATATATATATATATATATATATATATATATATATATATATACTGAGATCATGTGACACTTAGATTGCACACAGGTGGACTTTATTTAAATAATTATGTGACTTCTGAAGGTAATTGGTTGCACCATATCTTATTTAGGGCTTCATAGCAAAGGGGGTGAATACATATGCACGCACCACTTTTCCGTTATTTATTTTGTGTAATTTTTTGAAATGTTATTTTTTTCATTTCACTTCACCAATTTGGACTATTTTGTGTATGTCATGTTTACATGAAATCCAAATAAAAATCAGTTTAAATTACAGGTTGTAATGCAACAAAATAGGAAAAACGCTAAGGGGGGATGAATACTTTTGCAAGGAAGGTGAACAGCCACGACCCTAAGATTTTTAAGTGATTGCACAATAAAGGCAGACCTATTTCCATTGTTGTCCCTATTTTTTACATAAATAGTTCTACATACAATTAGGCTACATAGATACAGACAAAAAAAAGCTCAACCTCCAAATGAGAATGCGGGTGGAGTTTAAGTACAATTCTTTCAAGCTTGTTTGGTCTGTAGCTTTAGGGTGTTCTTTAGATGCTTGGGGCTGCTGGTGAACCATGATATGCAGGCATAATCAACGTGACACTGGACTAGCACACTTGCCATAGTCTTTAGTGTGTCTCGCTAGGTTTCCATCCAATTGGAGACAGATTTTCATGCAAATATTCTAGAATCTGTATAAAAACAATATACGCATTTCAGAGTTTCCTTTAGGAAAATTTGGTGCTGGACAACGTGAACATTTACCGGACATCCATTCAGACCTGGCACAGCCAGCGCCATCATTTGGCCAAATGAACCACATTAAAAACAGCCTATTAAAAAAAATAACTAAAAAAAAAAAAGATTTGAGCACTAAATGCATCAGGACATTGCATGCATACAGTGCCTTCGGAAATTATTTTAGCGCCTGGCTACGCAGACGCTTGTGAGCAGTTTGGATGAAATGATTGAATAACCTGTACAGTGCATTCTGAAAGTATTCAGACCCCTTCGCTTTTTCCGCATTTTCTTACGTTACAGCCTTATTCTAAAAAGGGTAAAATACATTTTTCCCCCTCATCAATCTACACACAATACCCCATAATGACAAAGTGAAAACAGGTTTTTTAAATTTCTATTAAAATACATAAATACCTTATTTACATACAGTGGGGAGAACAAGTATTTGATACACTGCCGATTTTGCAGGTTTTCCTACTTCTGTAATTTTTTATCATAGGTACACTTCAACTGTGAAAGACGGAATCTAAAACAAAGATCCAGAAAATCACATTGTATGATTTTTAAGTAATTAATTTGCATTTTATTGCATGACATAAGTATTTGATACATCAGAAAAGCAGAACTTAATATTTGGTACAGAAACCTTTGTTTGCAATTACAGAGATCATACGTTTCCTGTAGGTCTTGACCAGGTTTGCACACACTGCAGCAGGGATTTTGGCCCACTCCTCCATACAGACCTTCTCCAGATCCTTCAGGTTTCGGGGCTGTCGCTGGGCAATACGGACTATCAGCTCCCTCCAAAGATTTTCTATTGGGTTCAGGTCTGGAGACTGGCTAGGCCACCCCAGGACCTTGAGATGCCTCTTACGGAGCCACTCCTTAGTTGCCCTGGCTGTGTGTTTCGGGTCGTTGTCATGCTGGAAGACCCAGCCACGACCCATCTTCAATGCTCTTACTGAGGGAAGGAGGTTGTTGGCCAAGATCTCGAGATACATGGCCCCATCCATCCTCCCCTCAATACGGTGCAGTCGTCCTGTCCCCTTTGCAGAAAAGCGTCCCCAAAGAATGATGTTTCCACCTCCATGCTTCACGGTTGGGATGGTGTTCTTGGGGTTGTACTCATCCTTCTTCTTCCTCCAAACACGGCGAGTGGAGTTTAGACCAAAAAGCTATATTTTTGTCTCATCAGACCACATGACCTTCTCCCATTCCTTCTCTGGATCATCCAGATGGTCATTGGCAAACTTCAAATGGGCCTGGACATGCGCTGTCTTGAGCAGGGGGACCTTGCGTGCGCTGCAGGATTTTAATCCATGACGGCGTAGTGTGTTACTAATGGTTTTCTATGAGACTGTGGTCGCAGCTCTCTTCAGGTCATTGACCAGGTCCTGCCGTGTAGTTCTGGGCTGATCCCTTACCTTTCTCATGATCATTGATGCCCCACGAGGTGAGATCTTGCATGGAACCCCAGACCGAGGGTGATTAACCGTCATCTTGAACTTCTTCCATTTTCTAATAATTGCGCCAACAGTTGTTGCCTTCTCACCAAGCTGCTTGCCTATTGTCCTGTAGCCCATCCCAGCCTTGTGCAGGTCTACAATTTTATCCCTGATGTCCTTACACAGCTCTCTGGTCTTGGCCATTGTGGAGAGGTTGGAGTCTGTTTGTTTGAGTGTGTGGACAGGTGTCTTTTATATAGGTAACGAGTTCAAACAGGTGCAGTTAATACAGGTAATGAGTGGAGAACAGGAGGGCTTCTTAAAGAAAAACTAACAGGTCTGTGAGAGCCGGAATTCTTACTGGTTGGTAGGTGATCAAATACTTATGTCACGCAATAAAATGCAAATTAATTACTTAAAAATCATACAATGTGATTTTCTGGATTTTTGTTTTAGATTCCGTCTCTCACAGTTGAAGTGTACCTATGATAAAAATTACAGACCTCTACATGCTTTGTAAGTAGGAAAACCTGCAAAATCGGCAGAGTATCAAATACTTGTTCTCCCCACTGTAAGTGTTCAGACCCTTTGCTATGAGACTCGAAATTGAGCACAGGTGCATCCTTGAGATGTTTCTACAACTTGATTGGAGGCCACCTGTGGTAAATTCAATTGATTGGATATGATTTGGAAAGGCACACACCAGTCTATATAAGGTCCCACAGTTGACAGTGCATGTCAGAGCCAAAACCAAGCCATGAGGTCGAAGGAATTGTCCGTAGAGCTCGGAGACAGGATTGTGTCGAGGCACAGATCTGGGGAAGGGTACCAAAACATTTCTGCAGCATTGAAGGTCCTCTAGAGCACAGTGGCATCCATCTTTCTTAAATGGAAGAAGTTTGGAACCACCAAGAGGTTTTTGCGCCATTATTCAATTGACATTTTCACTGCAGCCTATAGTAGAATTTTGTACTCGCTTGAAAACAATATTTCAATTATTAATTGCATTGTAGTGTTGTAGGCTAGTCTAGGTAGGATAATTGTATTGTCCCTAAACAAGATCAATAGGGGAGCTTTTTGAGCTGTGTCACTTTTTCACAGTTCTTTCATGCCCAATGATGCACCTGGCCTCTCCGCTGCCTGTCAGCTATTCCTATTTGTTCTTTTGGATTCACATTACAATTGATGCAGCTTTGAATGTGTGGTATGATTGCTAGTTAGCCTATTGCAGATCTGGACAAACGATCCACCTACCACTATTGTCACTATGAATGGTAGAGTGCACGATAGACCTTTAGACTGGTAGACTACACTGACCTGTGGTATAGTAAAAGTTAGCACATGGAAAAGCGTAGTGCATAAGGGAAGTACCAAAACACCTTGATGAAGGGGAGGCGCATGCAAGCAGATGAGGAATTTTGATAGGATGGAAGAATTGTATATAGTAATCCAGGGTAAAAAATGCACTACCCTCCCCGGAGCAACAAAAAACTGTTTGACAACCCTCCCCTATTTTGCCCCACCCTCCCGCCACCCAGTAAATTGCGATTTGTCCCTTACTGCAAGAAATTCATAATTCTGCAGTAGTTAATATAATATTATGCTACATGTGAGAGGCTATAGGCCTACAGTCAGTGTCCATATTTCAGTTACTATTCCATTTAAACCATATGAACTTAAATGAGGAATATTCTGTTTTCATGGTTACAGGGATACTCATGAGCGGGATATCGAAGGTGCATGTAGCTTATTGCGAATAAGCGGGATATGAGCTACTATCCAGAATATTGTGTGCATGTAAACGTGGTCAATGTCTTGATGAGTTCATTAGTCGTTTTAGCACTGCTCCACTGTCAAAAACATACCCTTGTATTTGATGGTTGTCAATTCCCGAAACACCCAACCCTTTTCAATAGATTTGTCATGCCAGATATTGGTTTGCTTAAAAATACAGTAGTTATTAAATCGAATCAATCTTTCAACAAAAATGTCTCTCTGTGACCTCTTTAGTTCAGAATACTGATATTGACAAATATTTCTCCACAGACCACTCGGAGAACTAGGAGGACAGCTGATAAAGAGGAGACTGCAACCCAGTCTGAGGTGACCAGTGACTCCCAGCAAGATGTTCCCTCCAAGGCCCAGAGCTCCACCGTGAAGAGGAAGACCAGGGCATCTAAACGTGAAACTGGCTCTGCTAACCAGGTAGACTCCACCCATGAAGCTGATGTGTCCGAGTCAGAGTCCTGCTGTTCTGCTATATCAGATATGGAGGCTATCCCCGACACACAGCCAGCTCGCAGGGGCCGAAGGAGAGCCGCAGGCGGGGAGCAGTCTGACTCCACAAAGGAAGAGGCTGTGTCTGAGGTAGACTCTTGTTCATTGTCTGCCTCCAGAAGACCAAACACTCGCAGAGCCACCAGGAGTCTGAGGAAGGCTGTTCTCACAGACTCTGCCAAAATGGACAATGATGTTTCAGAGGCAGAGTCCTGCAGCTCTGTGGTGTCTGAGTCCAAGGTGCCTGACTCGCAGACCAGAGTGACCAGAAGGACTGCTGTGTCCAGCAGCCGGGCCTCTTTAAAGTCTCACACCGAGGACACAGAGCTTTCTGATCCTGAGTCCTGTGCCTCAGGTATCTCTGGTGCTCAGACCTCCACGGTGCACAGAGTTACCAGATGCAGGAGTGGAAGGTTTGTTGAAGCTATCCCCATGCATTTGGAGGAAACCACTGATGGCTCCATCTCTCCTCTACCCCGTAGGAGAAGCAGAGTTGTATGTAAAGGATATCCCTGTGACCCCCAGAGTCCCCAGGACTCCGAGAGCTTTGAGTCTGGGCCAAGCATTACTCCCAGGAGGTCCACTCGCAGGAGGACTGAGCCGAAACAGACAGGCACCACTGTTACAGACTCTGAGTCTGACCTGCCTGATGTGAATACCCCTCTGGGGAGCCCTAGGTCGGTGAGAGGCAGGGGCACTCCTTGCAGTAGTCGCACTGGATCCAACAGCAGTTCCAGGGCAGCACCAGTTACCCGGCTGACAGCCAAGGCCCTGGATATACTAGTTGAGAAAGCCCAATGCCAGTCAGATAAGGTGAGTGTATCTGAGGTTGCTGAGGAAAGTGAAGTGTTGGAGGACAATAAGTTAGACGACACAGTCTACGCTGATCCAGACTGCTCCATGATAGAAGAAGTGGCAGAAGAAGATAAGACACTAACCCTTGAGGATGTAGTGAACGCTGAACCAGCAGCGCCCATCCAAGATGCAGCACCTGCTCGGGAGCATACAGGGAGTGTGACAGTCTCTGAGGATGCAGAGATGCCAGAGGTCACGAGTGTACAACAGGAGTCAGCCGAGACAACCGTCAGTGAAGACCCAGAGAAGAATACCTCTGTGGTGGATATCCCTGCTCAGGAAAACATCCTACAGGAGAAGCTGATCCCAGCTGATTCTGAAGTCAAAGTGACCCTCTGTGAGAGTGCTGATACAGAGATGGCTGAGGCAGTCTGTGAGCTTGCAGTGGAAGCAGAAGACCAGCAGAGGGAGCTGTCCACTGAGGATGCAGCAGATACGGATGTCCCAGTGATAACAGAACAGGAGACGATAATGCCAGTCTCTCTTGAGAAAACAGTAAAAGTAGCAGCGTGTGAAAATGCAGTGTCCCCTGTTATAGTGGTGTCTGATGAGGACGAGGAGGAAAAGGCCATGGATGTGGATGTAAACACCCACACAAATCCTCCATCGGAGGTAGAGAACCAGGAATGTAAGGCAGTGCCTAGTGAGGAGGCTATGGATGTCAGCAGCACACTAGTAACTGAGAATAAAAAGGCTGACCAAGATAAATCCCCTCACACCACAGAGCCCATTAAGGTGACCTCCAGCCAGAACCTGAAGGTCAGTGTGTCTGATGCTGACAAGCTAGGGGAGCCCAGAGACTGTGTCATCGTACAGAAATCTGGCGTGATCAGTCTGCTGGAGAGCAGTGAGGATGAAGAGGATGACGACAACAGTCAGCATTCTGAGGAAGCAGATGAGAGGAAAAGACAGGGTTCTGATGGTGAAGAGGAAGCTGTCTGTATAGAGGAGGAGGCAGGCCCATCCAGACCCCAAGCTGCTGCTCAGTCCTCAGCTGATGATGGCTTGTTTGTCATAGACACCCGGCCTGGCCTTCAGTCAGGTCAACAGTACTACGTGGATGACAAGGAAAAGGAGGGGGGAGACACGGAGGCTGAAGAAGAGCAAGATGAGGAAGAGTTTGTTGATGAAGAGGGAGATGATGATGATGATGAAGATGAACAAGTCCTCTTCACAAGCAGAAATCCACAATTGTAAGTATCTTTTTTGGTCATGCCAATGTCAGTTGTCATCTGTGCTTTAAAAATGGCTATTTAATTTGACAGTTAGGGCTCCAGCACCACTATGCCATCTTATTCTGAATGTATTGCAGGATCTAGTTTTTTTGTATGTATCTGAATGTATTGCAGGATCTAGCTATTTTATTGCATTGCAATGCCAAGCACGTATAAATAATTTTCACATTCATTTTCATTAACATATCAAGAGTGAACCAGTTAGAGAATAGGCAATGCTGCACCTCCTGGGTAATTAGTTGTTACAATCCGTTATAGGAAAGAGTTGTCCAGCCGTATTGACCCGGGCCTGAAAGTGAAGGAGCTTGGGGGATTATACATCAATTTTGATGGCAGCAAATCAAAGACTGTCTCTAACTCCCTGAAGGAACAGAAGAGCCAAGATGAGGTAAATAACTCATTGATTTTGTTTGAAGGTGATATATGGTGTAGAATCGGTAATGAATTGTGTAGTTATGCAAGGCTGGGTAATTCAATGAGAGGAAGTTTTTCATGCAATTTCAAACCTTTTGACTTTAACGGATCTCTGCGTTTTTTAGATTTTCTACAGCTCCTACATTGTGATTTATTTTCTCTGTTGGCAGTTGATGAAGAAGAGTGTTATTGGCCCAGAGTTTGAGAAGAGAGATGCTGTGCCTCCATACAGGGAGTCCAAACAGGCTGCGAAACTGAAGCGCAAAGTGAATACAAGTCCATATGCCCTTGTTTATTAATTTAGAAGAGAAAGTAGAAAACACCAACAGTGTGATATGAGGAGAAGTAGTCGTTATATTTTGAGTACATTTTAGCTATTTTTGTTTAGTTTGCTCACTCATTGACTATCCTGACTGACATGTTTCCTCCTTGTCTTGCCATGCTCAGGAGGAGCGGGACAAAACAACTGGAGCCGGCTGGTTTAACATGAGGGCTCCTGAAATGACAGAGGAATTAAAGGGTGACCTCAAAGCACTGAAAATGCGTGGAGCAATGGACCCCAAGCGGTTTTATAAGAAGAATGATAGAGATGGATTCCCCAAGTACTTCCAGGTCAGTAAGCATCTAACCCTCAACTGTGCTCGGTTTTCGCAGTGGTCCATGTTATATACAGTTGAAGTCGGAAGTTTACATACACTTAGGTTGGAGTCATTAAAACTCGTTTTTCAACCACTCCACAAATTTCTTGTTAACAAACTATAGTTTTGGCAAGTCGGTTAGGACATCTACTTTGTGCATGACACAAGTAATCTTTCCAACGATTGTTCACAGACAGATTATTTCACTTATAATTCACTGTATCACAATTCCAGTGGGTCAGAAGTTTACATACACTAAGTTGACTGTGCCTTTAAACAGCTTGGAAAATTCCAGAAAAATGATGTCATGGCTTTAGAAGCTTCTGATAGGCTAATTGACATCATTTGAGTCAATTGGAGGTGTACCTGTGGATGTATTTCAAGGCTTACCTTCAAACTCAGTGCCTCTTTGCTTGACATCATGGGAAAATCAAAAGAAATCAGCCAAGACATCAGAAAAACAATTATGGACCTCCAAAAGTCTGGTTCATACTTGGGAGCAATTTCCAAATGCCTGAAGGTACCACGTTCATCTGTACAAACAATAGTACGCAAGTATAAACACCATGGGACCACGCAGCGGTCACACCGCTCAGGAAGGAGACGCGTTCTGTCTCTTAGAGATTAACGTATTTTGGTGTGAAAAGTGCAAATCAATCCCAGAACAGCAGCAAAGGACCTTGTGAAGATGCTGGAGGAAACGGGTACAGCAAGGAAGAAGCCACTGCTCCAAAACCGCCATAAAAAAGCCAGACTACGGTTTGCAACTGCACATGGGGACAAAAATTTTACTTTCGTACTGGTCTGATGAAACAAAAATAGAACTGTTTGGCCATAATGACCATCGCTATGTTTGGAGGAAAAAGGGGGTGCTTGCAAGCCGAAGGACACCATCCCAACCGTGAAGCACGGTGGTGGCAGCATCATGCTGTGGGGGTGCTTTGCTGCAGGAGGGACTGGTGCACTTCACAAAATAGATGGCATCATGAGGAAGGAAAATGGTGGATATATTGAAGCAACATTTACATTTTACATTTTCGTCATTTAGCAGACGCTCTTATCCAGAGCGGCTTACAGGAGCAATTAGGGTGAAGTGCCTTGCTTAAGGGCACATCGACAAATTTTTCACTTAGTCGGCTCGGGGATTAGAACCAGCGACCTTTCGGTTACTGGCACAACGCTCTTACCCACTAAGCTACCTGCCGCCTCATCAGTCAGGAAGTTAAAGCTTGATCGCAAATGGGTCTTCCAAATGGACAATGACCCCAAGCATACTTGCAAAGTTGTGGCAAAATGGCTTAAGGACAACAAAGTAAAGGTATTGGAGTGGCAGAACTGAAAAGGCGTGTGCGAGCAAGGAGGCCTACAAACCTGACTCAGTTACACCAGCTCTGTCAGGAGGAATGGGCCAAAATTCACCCAACGTATTGTGGGAAGCTTGTGGAAGGCTACCTGAAACGTTTGACCCAAGTTAAACAATTTAAAGGCAATGCTACCAAATACTAATTGAGTGTATGTAAACTTCTGACCAACTGGGAATGTGATGAAAGAAGTAAAAGCTTAAATAAATCATTCTCTCTACTATTATTCTGACTTTTCAAATTCTTAATATAAAGTGGTGATCCTAACTGACCTAAGACGGAATTTTTACTAGGATTAAATGTCAGGAATTGTGAAAAACTGAGTTTAAATGTATTTGGCTAAGGTGTATGTAAACTTCCGACTTCAACTGTAGGTAAATGCAAAAATCAAGGAAACACCAACATAAAGTGTCTTAATAGGGCGTTGGACCATCACGAGCACCTGAACAGCTTAAATGCGCCTTGGCATAGATTCTACAAGTGTCTGGAACTCTATTGGAGGGATGCGACACCATTCTTCCACAAGAAATTCCATCATTTGGTGTTTTGTTGATGGTGGTGGAAAACGCTGTCTCTGGCGCCGCTCCAGAATCTTCCATAAATGTTCAATTGGGTTGAGCTCTGGTGACTGCGATGCACACACCCTTTAAACCCCCTATGCTCCATTGAGACCCCTCTTTCAAAGTCACTTAAATCTCTTCTTGCCATGGTAGCCAAAATAATGGGCAACTGGGCATTTTTATACATAACCCTAAGCACAATGGGATGTTAATTGCTTAATTAACTCAGGAACCACACCTGTCTGGAAGCACCTGCTTTCAATATACTCATTTACTCAAGTGTTTCCTTTATTTTGGCAGTTTTGTTCAATGCCATGTGAAAAAAAACTCAAGTCACTAGTCCTCACTACTCCCAGCTAGAACTACCCCCCCCCCCCCCCCCCACAAAAAACAATATCCCCCAACATTTATTTAATGTCTTTCTGTCGTAGGTTGCTACAGTAGTAGATAGCCCTGTGGACTTCTACCATTCCCGTGTCCCGAAGAAAGACAGGAAGAGAACCATGGTGGAGGAGTTGCTTGCTGATGCCGAGTTCAGACAGTAAGTTTCAGTTTCTTTGTCATGTTACGGTATTGAATTTAATAGCTTGTGTGTTCCTGAAATTATCGTTTTGGCATAAAGTTCATGGAAATGCAGAACAATTGAATTGACATTAAATACCTGATATGAACTACTTGAATTGTCAAGTGCTAATACTTTCCCTTTAACTTCAACAGCAATAACAAGAAGAAATACCAACAGATCATGACAGAAAAAGCAGCCATTGGTGCTGGCAAGAAGAATAGGAAGAACAATAAGTTCAGAAAGTAACAGTAACTTTGAGTGATGTAATACACAATGCAATCATATGTCTGTATTGAGACCATAATATGTTAACGTCTGAATCAAAGCCTATTAATTAAACACATACCATTTACAGTGGCTTTATGGAGCTAAAGGTCTTTATAAATTTTTCACGTAACATGAACAAACTGTATAAAGAGATTTTTACTTTGTAGTTTAAAGGTTCACATTAGTAGCTATTAACAAAAAACATAGATTTATACAGTATTTATGCATAGCCTATGCTATACTGGCTCTGAATTTCCCCATTCGTATACTTGCGTAAAACATACTTATTTTCCCTGACAAATATCCATTTTTAAAGTCAAATTACTAAAATACTACAGGATAAAACTAACGGGACACCTATTTCAAGCACTAATATTGTTGAGAAAATGTCTAACTCAACTTCACAATGTTTAATAAATCAAGATCAGTTTGAACCGTTGGTTGACTTTGTCTTTGGCTCCATCCTGAGAAAACAATTGAGTTGGCTGCATTGTGCCTGAAGGGACTGTTGTACAATAGCTCTGTTGTCTGTAACCCTTCCCATTATCTGTGTATATTTGCTGGAACATCAAACAGATTTTCTCGTCTCTGCCGATGCAAATCCGCATACAAAGAGATCAAATGAATTAACATCTGCTCACCCAGTTTCTACCCAGAAAAATCTTGCCCCCCGCTTGCCAGCCTCCTGTTGGCTCAGTGTGTTTGTGGCCAGCAGCTCCAGAGCTCTATTGGACGCGTGACGATCACATGGAAAGAAAGAAAAGACGCTTGAGAACTGCACTGTCAAGTCTTCTGTCCAGGTGGCCCATTCTCTGGCTAAACCACAGGTGGTGGATTCATTGGAGCGCATCCCCATCAACAGCCTACCCAAAAGAACAGTCAGGAACAAGACCAAGAAGCAATTTTTTCAGTAGCAGATCTTTGGTTAATTTACATCCAACAAGTTATCAGTGATTGAAGATAGCCAGAGTTCACCAAATACACGAATAAGACCGGAAAGACAATTCTAATTCAAGACAAATATTTAATCTGTCAAAGTATAGTTATTATAATCAGTTTACAGAGTAAAACATAATGCCTGTCTTTTATAATTCGTTTTTATATACTGTAAGAATTGTTTGGGCACACAGTAGATACAGTATGTGTATGTATATATATATATATATATATACATACACACACACACACAGTACCAATTCAAGAGTTTGGACACACCTACTCATTCAAGGGTTTTTCTTTATTTTTACTATTTTCTACGTTGTATAATAATAGTGAAGACATCAAAACTATGAAATAACACATATGGAATCATGTAGTAACCAAAAGTGTTAAACAAATCAAAATATATTTTATATTTGAGATTCTTCAAAGTAGCCACCATTTGCCTTGATGACAGCATTTCTTCAAGTGCAGTTGCAAAAACCATCAAGCGCTATGATGAAACTGGCTCTCACGAGGACCGCCACAGGAAAGGAAGACCCAGAGTTACCTCTGCTGCAGATAAGTTCATTAGTATCAGCCTCAGAAATTGCAGCCAAAATAAATGCTTCACAGAGTTCAAGTCACAGACACATCTCAACATCAACTGTTCAGAGGGGACTGTGTGAATCAGGCCTTCATGGTCGAATTGCTGCAAAGAAACCATTACTTAAGGACACCAATAATAAGAAGAGACCTGCTTGTCCAAATTTGAGATTTTTGGTTCCAACCGCCATGTCTTTGTGAGACACGGTGTGGGTGAATGGATAATCTCTGCATGTGTAGTTCCCATCGTAAAGCATGGAGGAGGAGGTGTTATGGTGTTGGGGGTGCTATGCTGGTGAAACTGATTTTATTTAGAATTCAAGGCACACTTAACCAGCATGGCTACCACAGCATTCTGCAGCGAGACGCCATCCCATCTGGTTTGGGCTTAGTGGGACTATCATTTGATTTTCAACAGGACAATGGCCCAACACGTCTCCAGGCTGTGTAAGGGCTATTTTACCAAGAAGGAGAGTGATGGAGTGCTGTATCAGATGGCCTGGCCTCCACAATCCCCCGAACTCAACCCAATTGAGATGGTTTGGGATGAGTCGGAAGGCAGAGTTAAGGAAAAGCAGCCAACAAGTACTCAGCATATGTGGGATCTCCTTCAAGACTGTTGGAAAAGCATTCCAGGTGAAGCTGGTTGAGAGAATGCCAAGTGTGTGCAAAGCTGTCATCAAGGCAAAGGGTGGCTATTTGAAGAATCTCAAATATAAAATGTATTTTGATTTGTTAACACTTTTTTTTTGGTTACTACATGTTTCCATATGTGTTATTTCATAGTTTATGACTTCACTATTATTCTACAATGTAAAAAAAATAGTAAAAATTAAGAAACCCTTGAATGAGTAGGTGTGTCCAAACTTTTGACTGGTTGTGTGTGTATGTATGTATATATATATATATATATGTGTATGTATATATATATATATGTATGTATGTATGTATGTATGTATAGTTGAAGTCGGAAGTTTACATACACCTTAGCGAAATACATTTAAACTCAGTTTTTCACAATTCCTGACATTTAATCCTAGTTAAAATCTTAGGTCAGTTAGGATCACCACTTTATTTTAAGAATGTGAAATGTCAGAATAATAGAGAGAATTATTTATTTCAGCTTTTATTTCTTTCATCACATTCCCAGTGGGTCAGAAGTTTACATACACTCAATTAGTATTTGGTAGCATTGCCTTTAAATTGTTTAACTTGGGTCAAACGTTTCGGGTAGCCTTCCACAAGCTTCCCACAATAAGTTGGGTGAATTTTGGCCCATTCCTCCTGACAGAGCTGGTGTAACAGAGTCAGGTTTGTAGGCCTCCTTACTCGCACACGCATTTTCAGTTCTGCCCACAAATGTTCTATAGGATTGAGGTCAGGGCTTTGTGATGGCCACTCCAATACCTTGACTTTGTTGTCCTTAAGCCATTTTGCCACAACTTTGGAAGTATGCTTGGAGTCTCATTGTCTATTTGGAAGACCCATTTGCGACCAAGCTTTAACTTCCTGACTGAAGTCTTGAGATGTTGCTTCAATATATCCACATAATTTTCCTTCCCCATGATGCCATCTATTTTGTGAAGTGCACCAGTCCCTCCTGCAGCAAAGCACCCCCACAGCATGATGCTGCCACCCCCGTGCTTCACAGTTGGGATGGTGTTTTTTGGCTTGCAAGCCACCCCCTTTTTCCTTCAAACATAACGAAGGTCATTATGGCCAAACAGTTCTATTTTTGTTTCATCAGACCAGAGTACATTTCTCCAAAAAGTAAGATCTTTGTCCCCATGTGCAGTTGTAAACTAGTCTGGCTTTTTTATGGCGGTTTTGGAGAAGTGGCTTCTTCCTTGCTGAACGGCCTATCAGGTTATGTCGATATTGAACTTTTCACACCAAAGTACGTTCATCTCTAGGAGACGGAATGCGTCTCCTTCCTGAGCGGTATGACGGCTGCGTGGTCCCATGGTGTTTATACTTGCGTACTATTGTTTGTACAGATGAACGTGGTACCTTCAGGCGTTTGGAAATTGATCCCAAGGATGAACCAGACTTGTGGAGGTCTACCATTTTTTTTCTGAGGTCTTGGCTGATTTCTTTTGATTTTCCCATGATGTCAAGCAAAGAGGCACTGAGTTTGAAGGTAGGCCTTGAAATACATCCACAGGTACACCTCCAATTGACTCAAATGATGTCAATTAGCCTATCAGAAGCTTCTAAATCCATGACATCATTTTCTGGAATTTTCCAAGCTGTTTAAAGGCACAGTCAACTTAGTGTATGTAAACTTCTGACCCACTGAAATTGTGATACAGTGAATTATAAGTGAAATAATCTGTCTAAACAATTGTTGGAAAAATTACTTGTCATGCACAAAGTAGATTGCCAAAACAATAGTTGGTTAACAAGAAATTTGTGGAGTGGTTGAAAAATGAGTTTTAATGACTCGAATACAACAGGTGTAGACATTACTGTTAAATGTATGTAAACTTGCGACTTCAACTGTGTGTGATATATATTTACTGTGTGTGTGTATATACAGTGGGGGGAAAAAAGTATTTAGTCAGCCACCAATTGTGCAAGTTCTCCCACTTAAAAAGATGAGAGGCCTGTAATTTTCATCATAGGTACACGTCAACTATGACAGACAAAATGAGATTTTATTTTCCAGAAAATCACATTAAGATTTTTAATGAATTTATTTGCAAATTATGGTGGAAAATAAGTATTTGGTCAATAACAAAAGTTTCTCAATACTTTGTTATATACCCTTTGTTTGAATGACACAGGTCAAACGTTTTCTGTAAGTCTTCACAAGGTTTTCACACACTGTTGCTGGTATTTTGGCCCATTCCTCCATGCAGATCTCCTCTAGAGCAGTGATGTTTTGGGGCTATCGATGGGCAACACGGACTTTCAACTCCCTCCAAACATTTTCTATGGGGTTGAGATCTGGAGACTGGCTAGGCCACTCCAGGACCTTGAAATTATTCTTACGAAGCCACTCCTTCGTTGCCCGGGCGGTGTGTTTGGTATCATTGTCATGCTGAAAGACCCAGCCACGTTTCATCTTCAATGCCCTTGCTGATGGAAGGAGGTTTTCACTCAAAATCTCACGATACATGGCCCCATTCATTCTTTCCTTTACACAGATCAGTCGTCCTGGTCCCTTTGCAGAAAAACAGCCCCAAAGCATGATGTTTCCACCCCCATGCTTCACAGTAGGTATGGTGTTCTTTGGATGCAACTCAGCATTCTTTGGCCTCCAAACACGACGAGTTGAGTTTTTACCAAAAAGTTCTATTTTGGTTTCATCTGACCATATGACATTCTCCCAATCCTCTAGCAAACTTCAGACGGGCCTGGACATGTACTGGCTTAAGCAGGGGGACACGTCTGGCACTGCAGGATTTGAGTCCCTGGCGGCGTAGTGTGTTACTGATGGTAGGCTTTGTTAC